CCGGCTCTCCTATTTCCAGCTCTCCTACTTCCGGCTCTCCGACTTTCGGCTTTCCGACTTCCAGCTCTCCTACTTCCGGCTCTCCGACTTCCGGCTTTCCTGCTTCCGGCTCTCCTACTTCCAGCTCTCCGACTTCCGGCTCTCCGACTTTCGGCTTTCCTACTACTGCTCTCGTGACCAGCAGGGATCTGGCGGTGCTGAAACAGCCGTGGCGGGCGTGTTTCGATCGCGAGCCTGACACTTATTATGCTGCTCCGTATTGGGCCAGCAAGTGTCACAGTGACGAAGGAGCGCTTGGCTGCCTTTATGATTTGGAAGAGGAACCCGACTGCTACAGGTACGGTGGAGCAACCGGGGTTGACTTTACCAGCCTAAGGCAATGGGCTGGTTCACACAATTACGCCTGCCAAGTGACAACCAGCTGCGATGATGGTTACAAGGCTCCACGGACATTGGCCACTATGTCGTTGCCCGCCCCTCCTGCTACGGCACCCGTGCCCAACCGTGACCCGGCCGGACTGAAGGAGCCGTTCGAGGCGTGTATAAAGGAAAGTATATACACCTACACATTTTTTCCGGCGTCGGTGGCTATCGACACGTGCGGCCGTGGCCAGGGTGCCTTGGCGTGCCTTGTCAAAGGCTGCTACAGATACGGGGGAGCAACCGGGATCGACTTTGCCACGCTTCGGCAATGGCTTGCATCAGATCCGGAAGGTATGGGGTGCATAGTGAGAACTGTTTGCGATGATGATTACAAAGCTCCACAAAACTTACCTGAAAGGTGACGCGCATGGACACCCTTGGTTGGCCAACCTGCTTTGGTTAGTTTGTTTTTGGTGAGTGTGCACTGATTTTTTTTTCCGCCGAAAAGGCGTCCTGGACAAGTGACCTTTCCTCCTGCTTCTCTGACGTCAACATCTGGCGTACAGTACTTGTAATTAGTTTGGGCGGTTTCCAACGCTGCGTCGTCACTGATCCTACCCCCATATTCGATGCATCAGACACGCGCGTGTTGGGTATCAGATTTTTTCAATCTAGCCCGAGGCTTCTGACCCGAGTGAGCAAGGCTTTGGACATTGCTTCAAATGTGGGTAGGTTAGGTCGAGTGGATGAGGTCAGCAGCAGCAGCAGCATTGAGCTCAATTGTTGTGGACGGGACTTGGCTGATTGCAGCCGTAGTCAACCCTGATGGCACTCAAGAGGAGGGACCAGTGGAGGGAGCGGCTTGGAAGTCGGTGACGAAGTTCATAAAGGCCCTGGGTGAAGGAAGCACAGAACAGACGGGCGACCCGGCGGCTACTAGTAACTTGATTGATGCACTGGGGATTGGCGTACCGGGGTCGCGCATACCGCACACGGAATCAGTAGATGCTCGGACGGAGTTGGTGTACGCCCTAGTCTTGTCGAAGAGTGATACAGCAAGTTATTCGAGCCAACTGCCCGTCGAGTGGGGGTGCAGATCGAGGCTGGAGCTTTGGCCACGGGTTCGACTTTGAGGTGATGTCAATGAATGAAGTGTGGTGGGTGCAAGAGACGATCACTCTCTAATCGCGTTGGTTCACGGGGGCACTGAATTCAAGGGAGAGTTCTTTGACCT